CCGACCACGTTCAAACATTCAGATATATTATTGGAAACAGAAAAAAAGTAATCAACATTTGTCTCATTCATAGATTTTTAAAAAGCATATGATTGCATTGATAGAGGTATCCTATGGGACAAGGTTTCTGAACATTGTATTGGCGGTAACATTTTAACAGCTCTATGTAATCTTTATACAAGGAAGTTTATAGTGTGTGAGTGAATGGCTCGTTTACTTCCTGGTTCGAGGTGAGCCGAGGTTTGAAACAGGGATGTTTGTTATCCCCTTTGTTGTTCAACTTTTATTTTATTAGTGATTTGTTAAATACTCTTATTAGTCTTAATGTAGATGTGAAGGCAGATGAGTTGACCATTGCTGCCCTAGCATACGCAGATGACTTGGCTCTGTTAGCAGAAAGTGAAGAGGAGCTTGATTGCTGTTATACGTTAGATGCTCTTAATACATGATGTCATTCAAATATATTAGAGATTAATAACGAAAAATCAAAGATTGTCCATTTTAGAAATCGAAGTATGTTTTTAATGTTGACAATATATATTGTTTTGGACGTTGTTAATAGTAATAACTACCAAAGTGCACTCCTTACAGACCACTTAGATTTACGGCAGCGAAATCGGCAAACAGAGCCCTGGGACTGCTTATTTCCAAATTAAGGCTCTAGGCAGTATGCATTCCCAGACTTATTCCAAATTACATGACAACATTAGATATTATTTAGGACTTGGTAAATATGCCTCTAATGTTGCAATCAATGGAGATTTGGGTTGGATACCGCCTATTGTCAGACTATAGAAAAGTGTGTCAAGACAATGATGCCGAATTTAAAATAGGCCAAGTCGTGTTAATAAGTATGTTTAGAATTGGGCTGAAAGGTTTGCTATAAATGGATGTAAAAGTTGGAATAGAAGGGTACGAAAGCAGTTTCATGATATTGGTTTGGGTTATTTGTTCAATGTTCCAAATGTAATTCTTAAATCTTGTGTGTGTGACTATGTACAAAATGTGTGTGAATGACTGTGTTATAAATTGGAAATGCTAAGTTATATAAGGTACAGGGGAAAAGTGGTCTCAACAAATAAAGAGTTTATAAGTGATTTAAACAAGATTATAGAACAGAAGGCTATGTTTTGAGGAACCTGCCAATAGGTTACAGGTCGGCTATTGCCAAGTTTATTTGTGGTGAGGCCCCAATTAAAATTGAAACAGGTCGATATGAAGGTATCCCTGTACAAAGTAGATATTGTTTACATTGTAAAAATTGCATTTTTTTTGCATGGCTAATATATATTATTAATTTTTACGGCATTTTACTGCTGCGGTATTATGCTATGACAAGTTGTCTCTTATTATTATTATTATTATTGTGTTTTAGTAATTTTTAATTTAGGTGCAAAGATACTGGATGGGTTGTTGTTTTGATTTAGCTTATTTAGGTTGTGTTCAGTTATGAGGTTTATGTGTTGCGATATGTGTCCACAGTCCCCTTTGCGGTTCTGCCTTCATTGAACCCTCCCATGTCTAAGCTCGTTTAGTCTTACTTGCCCCCTTCACTATGCCATCTATTTACCCGGTAACAACGTGGAGAAGGCAACAGGACAGTGGGAGATTGGAAAACATGGACGATCGTATTATGTAAAGTATGCTCACCTGGTCAGTATTCCCCTGATGTCCGCTCAAGTTTTGAATCCCAGCTACAATTTAAGCGTTAAAACATCTACAACTTGTCGTCTCAGATGATGAAAGATGATGAAAGGAAAAGGACAGTTCTGGAACAGGAGCCGAAGGAGCCCCTCTTTTAATTGGTCAATGAGAGTCACGTGACCACAATAGGTGTCTAATATTGCATGTTGTGGTGCAAAACCGAATCTATATTTAGCCAGGGAAAGACCCGAGCTATAATATAGGTCAGCATCTCGCTGTGTGACTCGCCCTTGTGATATAAGCCCAGACATAGTATACGTTTTGTAACCAGAACTGGCTAGCCGTGACCGGATATAGCCGCATGTTTTTTGTCTTTATATAAGAGGTTATTTCCCCCCATACTCATATCATTTCACTCTTGTGAGCGAGTCTAGACGGACGGTCCTGTCGTGTCTACACTCAATCTTACTACGCTGTTCACAAGACAGGTAACTTTCTTAAAGGTAAATGGTTTAATATATAGTTAGCTGGAAAATATAAATATTAGAAGTTACATATTTTTGAATTTTTCTTCATATTTTGAAGTGTCAACTATCATATCAAGTCCCGATTATAACTAATATGGATTGTAACAGTAGCCAGCGAAATCGCAATTTTATTTAGCGGCTAGCGTTGGTAGCAGGGTGGAGCTGCTTCCCTTGAACGGGTGGTGACGATGTGTGCTCTAGAGAAAAGATGGACAGTGCGATGCGTGTCAGATTTGTATCCAAGGGAATAATTGACTGTTTTGACGGTCCACACCTATGAGTTATTGTCTTATTATGCGTGCGAAGAAGTGTAACAATGGGAATGTATCAGTAAACAGAAAACAAGACATTCAAGTTTGCGTTCTTTATGCAGCTACTGCAAGAACATTCACGGAGTCGGTCAGTGTCACGTCAAGTGAAGTGCGAGCTGAAAGTTGCTACAGTCAAAACAGGCCAAAACATCTATTCATTGGATATTCGTGCTAGTGAGGATATTCTTGGAAGTGAGCAGTACGTATTTGTAACATTTTGAATGAATATGATGAACTTTTGACGTGACATTATTGAAAATCGTAATTCGTGTGAAATTCAAGCCACGTGCGATTATGTCCGAAAAGGCGGGAAGCGGAGCTGGCGGAAGTCATGCTAGTCGTGGTAGTAGGTGTAGTATGACTTCGATGCGTGCTGAAGTGGCTGCAAGTTTGGCAGAAGTCAAAATCAAAATGAAGTACGTTGATCTTGAAAATAGCAAGAAACGTGAATTGTGTAAACTTGAATTATAAAAGGAACTTGACGTAGCAGAGGCTAGATTTAAATTGTTGTTTTAAAGGATGCAGAAAGAACTCTCAGGTATGGCGAGGAAGTTATTGTGAATGATGGTAAAGTGCACAAACTGGAGAAACCTCAGACTGCTGAAGACTATGTTCAAGATTATATGAAAAATTATCCCTTGTTGCCAGAAACAGAAACACCCATTCACCCTGTTAATTCACAGGATAGGTTTGAACAGCGTGCTTCAACTAAACTGAATGCTGAGGCAACATACTTTATACCTCAGAAACAATTAAGTGACATGTCACTCGAGTTTGCGAATCTGACCAAGTCATTCGCGGAAACTATAAACCTTGGACGTCTACCAGCACCGGAACGAGGAGTGTTCTCAGGGGACCCTCTCCAGTATAAAGGCTCGAAATGTGCAGTTGAATCTTTAATAGAGAGGCGTGGTATACCTCAAAGTGAGAGAATATACTTCTTGAACAAGTATCTTTCTGGAGAAGTTAGGAACGCTGTAGCAGGATACCTCTTGATAAACACACACGATGCCTTTCAGCAAGCTAAACTACGGTTAGACAAAAGATTTCGAACTTCATATCATGTGGCTAAAGCCTTTAGGGACAAGTTAGAATATTGGCCAAAGATAGAGGGTAGAGGTGGTGTGGGATTGAGGAAGTTATCGGATTACCTCTTTCAGTGTCACAATGCGATGGACAATATTGACAGTCTCAAAATCTGGAATGACGAAAAGGAAAATGCGATGATAGTAGACAAATTACCCGAGAGGTTAGTGTATTGTTGGGGGAGAAACTATGATTCCTTTCCTCTTTTCGGGAAATTCGTAGACTTTGTTTCCGAAGAGGCAGACATAATGTGTGACCGGGTGTTGATACAAAGATTGTCCAAGAAACAATCTAAGAAACTAGAAACTGGAGACAGGATGCCTCAAAGAAGAACCACGTTTGCCACACAAGAGAGTGGGACCAATAAAATGACTTGTACATACTGCAAATGTGCCCACGATCTTGATCACTACAGGCATTTCAGTACGAAATCTCTAGAAGAGAGGAAAGCCTTTATAAGGCAACATAATCTATGTTTTGCATGTCTTAAGTTTGGACATCGATAGAGAGAGTGTTGGTGTCGCAGTTTCATCCTACTATGTTACATGGTGTCAAGTTGAAGAAGGATTCCACACAACCTTCGTCATCTGAAAACCCCGCAAAGTCATCTAGTTTTGCACATCGATGTGCGAGTGAACGTGGTGATAAGTGTTCAATGATCCTCTCCGTGTGGGTATCCCACAAGGATAACCCAAAAGTTGAAAGGCTAGTTTATGCATTACTAGATACTCAGTGAGATACCACCTTCATCCTAGACCAGACCTGTGATGCTCTTAATGTATGTGATCCTGAAGTGAAGTTGATGTTGTCAACAATGTCGGCAAAGGACGAACTTGTGGAAAGTAGGAAAATATGTGACTTAACTGTGAGAGGATATGATAGCAATCTTCAGATTCCCCTTCCACCAACATATTCAAGAGCCATCATTCCAGCCAACACTGTGTACACATTCCAAGTCCAGAGAAAGCAAGACAATGGCCACATCTGGAAAGAATTGCTGATAAGCTGCTAGAACTGCAGAATATAGAGATTGGACTGCTCATTGGATACAACTGTTCGCATGCTCTTATTCCAGGGGAAGTCATTGCTCCTACCACAGAAAGTGAACCGTATGGACAGAAATCAGACTTAGGCTGGGGTATCATAGGAATCCTCAATCAGGACCAAGTTGGCATTGACGTTATCAGTGTGAGTCACAGATTATTGTCCTGTGAAGTGTCAGAAGATTTACATTCTTCATCTTTCCATTCGGAGTGTGTGCATTTCTCCATGAAAACTTCGGTTAAGGAAGTGATTACTCCAATTGACGTAGTGCACATGGTGGAAATGGACTTCCATGAGAGACATTCTAACGAACCACCCATATCGTTAGAAGATCGTAGTTTCGTATCACAGATCGAGAATGGCATACATCAGAGGTCTGACGCTCATTACGAAATGCTGCTTCCATTCAAGAAAGGTAAACCCACATTGCCTGATAATAGAGCATCAGCCCTACAGCGAGTGATGCAACTGAAAAGTCGCTTGCAGAGAGATGAACAATATGCACATGATTACCGTTCATTTATGGACACTATGATTCAAAAGGGATATGCGGAGAAAGCACCATTGTATGAGGTCAACAATGTGTGGTATGTGCCTCATCATGGAATCTATATATCGACCCAAGAAACCCGAAAAGCTGCGCATAGTGTATGACTTTAGTGCTCGGCACCATGGTGTATCACTGAACGATAATTTGTTAAAGGGTCCACATCTTATTAATACACTCATTGGTGTATTGTGCAGGTTCTGAAAGGAACAAATAGCTATTCAATGTGACATTGAAGCCATGTTTCATCAGTTTGTCGTAGCAGAACACTACAGAGATTATTTACGTTTTCTCTGGTGGGAAGATGGTTTTGACTCGAACCCTATTGACTATAGAATGTGTGCACACTTCTTCGGTGCTGCCTCGTCGCCTGGTTGCACCAATTACGCCCTTAAGGAAATTGCGAAAGATTATGAATTCAAGCATGGAACCGCTGCAGCAAAGTTCATACAGAATGATTTCTATGTTGATGACGGATTCACGTCTGTTTCATCTGTGCGTGAAGCCTTAGATCTGATAGACAGTGCGAAGAAGTTGTGTGAAGAGGGAGGCCTCAGACTTCATAAATTTGTGTCTAATTCTACGGAAGTGCTGTCTGCCATTCCAAGAAAGGATGTGGCAAAGGAGATCATTCAGATTTCGGATAACTTTGAAGGATCAACCCTTGGTGTGACGGAGTGTCCTGTCTATTCTGAACCCGATACATGATCCGCTGGGAATGACTGCGCTGGTGTTATTGACTGGAAAACAAATCATGCAGGAGACTTGTAAGTGTCAGTTAGCCTGGGATAATCCTCTTCAAGATGATTTGCGATCCCGATGGGAAAGGTGGCGAAGTAAGCTCTTCTTGTTAGAAAGATGTAGAGACACCTCGTTGTTATAAGTCATCAAATGTAGGCAAGGTAGAATCCATGCAACTGCACCATTTCTCAGATGCAAGTACCACAGGGTATGGACAGGTATCACATCTCAGAATGATTGACGATTCTGATAATGTACACTGTGCATTTGTTACTGGTAAATCTCGTGTTTGTCCCATGAAGACTGTGACTATTCCCCGTTTAGAGTTCGCAGCATCTTGTGTATCAGTACGAGTGAGTCAGTTCTTCCAGCGTGAACTAAGATATGACAACATTGAAGAAGTATACTGGACTGACAGCAAAGTAGTATTAGGGTATATTGCCAATGAATCCAGTAGATTTCACGTGTTTGTAGCCAACAGGGTACAGTTTATTTGAAAACATTCCAGTCCGAGCCAGTGGAGACATGTGTATGGAGTAGAAAACCTGGCTGATATTGCGTCGAGAGGAATCGAACCTGGGAAACTGATGGAATCCTCATGTTTCACTGGACTATGGAACAAGTGTCTTTCAAATGCTACAAATGAAAGTGTTGCTGGGTCATCTGATGACCCAGAAGTGAAAGCTGTGAAAACTTTCTCGTATACACTTTTGATCTGCAATATCTTGAAAGAATCTCGAGTTGGGAAAGAGTTAAAAGGGTTATTGCACTGTGTTTGAAATGGAAGCAAAAATTGCTCAAACTCACACCTGAATTTTTTTCCAAGTGTTCAGTAGTAGATTCTATTTGTGTTAGTGACTTGATGGAAGCAGAGAGTGTAATCATTAGACATTTTCAAGAAGAAGTGTTTTCTTGTGAATTGAGAGCTCTGTACTCTATGGAGAAGTCGTCTGAAAGTGAGAGACTAGAATGAATGTATGAAGCGTAAGCATGCACTCAGAAATGTAAGTGGTACTAGCCCAGTTAATAAGTTAGCCCCATCTGTGGACTCGAAAGGGATCCTACGAGTTTGAGGTAGACTAGGGAATGCCAGCTGGGAATATGAGTTGAAACACCCGGTGATCCTCCCAAAGAGGCATCATATGACGAACATGGTAATCAGGCACTATCATGAACTTACTGGACATCAAGGTCGTGGAATCACTATGAACAGGATCCACAGCAGTGGATACTGGATAATCAATTGTGCATCTGAAGTAACATATGCAATTTTGAAGTGTGTTCCATGTAGAAAACTGCGTAGGGCTGCCAAGAGCAGAAGATGGCTGATTTGCCAGCCGACAGGTTGGAACAAGCTCCCCCATTTAGCTATTGTGGAATCACCATGTTCGGACCGTTCTAGAAGGCCGGAAGGATCGGAAGAAATATGGAGCCGTATTCACTTGCTTCTTATGTAGAGCCGTGCACATTGACGAACTCACTATCAACTGACTCATTCATTAATGCTCTGCGCAGATTTATTGCAGTTCGTGGACCAATTCGTCAGCTGATGTGTTTAATTTTATTGGTGCTAGAAGTGAATACTTCAATCATGAGCATGTGAAATAATTCTTGCTCAGAAGAGATTGTGACTACTTCACCATCAAGATGAATGCTCCATCCGCCAGTCACACGGGGGGAGTGTGGGAGCGCCAGATTCGCAGTATCAGAAACGTGCTGTCTGGACTTATGAGTGCACACAGCCAGCAGTTGGACAATGAAGGACTTCAAACATTGATGGCTTAAGTCATGGCGATTGTCAACAGTCGACCTCTTGCTGTTGAAACTCTCAATGATCCAAAATAATTGGAACCAATCACACCAAATCATTTGCTGACTAGTAAGACTAGTATCATCCTACCGCCTCCAGGTATATTTCAGAAGGAAGATGTTTACAGAATTTACAGGCACGTCAGAGGTGGCTGAGACCACGCAGAGACTTTCGAAAGGGTGACATTGTGCTAGGTAAAGATGAGAATGTACCACGGTGTTCATGGAAGCTAGCTCGTGTGGACGAAGTATTTCATGGTAGTGACAACATGGTGCGCAGGGTAAAGGTTGCTGTAGCAGATGCATCTCTGTCCAGTGTATGAAGACGTACAGAACAGATCAGCTATCTCGAGAGACCTATTCAGAAACTTGTTCTGATTCTTGAATCAGAAGATAATACAAGTGCCAAATAGACACTCAAATGATATCCATGTAGGGAGTTTATGTGATATCAAATGAACATTTAATGCTTCAAGTATATTGGAGCCATTATTTTACATGGACATTTACTGCTTACAATATCTTGGCAGTATAACCTCACATGAACTGATTAATGTTATGCATCATTTTCAAGTTAGGATAATTTTATTGTCTTAAAGCTGGTCATAGATTTTCTTTCATCAGCGTTTAACAGTGTAATGTGTTATTGCAATCATATTGCTTATGCCAGAGTAAGAGTCTAGAATTATTGTCTTAATTTTATGATAGAATTAAGTATGTAGAAGAGGTTGTTTCTTCGAGACAATTTGTAGTTTCTCTCATTTTATGGAAAATTAGATAAGTGTTCTAATTTTGAGGGGAGTGTAACAGTAGCCGGCGAAATCGCACTTTTATTTAGCGGCTAGCGTTGGTAGCAGGTTGGAGCTGCTTCCCTTGAACGGGTGGTGACGATGTGTGCTCTAGAGAAAAAATGGACGGGTGCGATGCGTGTCAGATTTGTATCCAAGGGAATAATTGACTGTTTTGACGGTCCACACCTATGAGTTATTGTCTTATTATGCGTGCGAAGAAGTGTAACAATGGCAATGGATCAGTAAACAGAAAACAAGACATTCAAGTTTGCGTTCTTTATGCAGCTATTGCAAGAACATTCACGGAGTCGGTCAGTGTCACGTCAAGTGAAGTGCGAGCTGAAAGTTGCTCCATGGATAGTGTTGTAAGTTTGTTTTATCTAATTAAACTATCAACATATTTAAGTTTATTTGTTTTTAACATCTACACTTTTGGTTGTTGTTTTTGTCTTTTATTCAGAATGGAGGAGAGGCAACGTTTTCTAGACTCTGTACAGTCCCTGCATGAACATGAGGCATGGGCAACGGCCAATAGCTGTTCAAATAACCTGGCTGTGAACTTATCAATCCTATCAATCTATTAGGAAACAAGTTATCCAACAACTGCAAGAACACATCCACATCACTTACTCATACATGTGATAACTGTAACAAATCTTTTACAAGCAAAAGAAATCTTCTTCGACATACAAGAACTGTACAGGTAAATGAGAAAATATCATGTGCGCAGTGTGGATACTCGTTTTCTCGCATGGATTACTACAAAGCGCACACTTGTAGAGCAAGATGGAAGCGGTCGGCTGAGACTGAAGTAGGTCATCTTCGGGTTAAGCGTGTCTGCCTTCAACCACCAAACTGGGTGAATAATGTGGCCGTTGCGCGATATGAGACCTGCAACTTTTGTGGGCATCATAAGTGTTTACTTCCTGGAAAGCGCTTCTGTCAGGAATGTTCATACAAAGGTCGAGAGTGTAAACAGTGTCACCGGCCTCTCCCCGAACGTTTCTTCAGCCGACGTGTAGAACAGTGTGACAGCTGTGTAAGACGGAGAGAGAAGTATGAGGCGAGACGAAACCAGGGAGGGCAAGTTAGGGCGCTGGAGGGTGCTGTGACAATAACTGTATCGAATAATGTTGATATATTGCAGTTTTTTGCAGATAAACAGACAAATATTGAGTCACTGTTACCTGATTTCTTAAAGGAGAAAAAACGGTATGAAATGGTTCCTAATTTTAAGACTTAAATGTATAAAATATGATGAACGCAATGAAAGCATTTTGGCTGAACCAGTGTTAAGGATCACACTATCGAAGCTCAGTTAGCTGAACAAATAGCTGAAGCCTACCAGAAGTTGTATACCTCCATGCAAGAGTTTCAAGCAGAGGGTAGTGGGTGGATTCTAGATGAAATTGTACAATTGGAAGTCAATACAGCTGAGTATACACCGTTATCAGCAAGTAGCTACATTCCTCTCCCCAAATACCTTGCTGATAAAAAAGCTATCCCGAAACATTCATAATGAGGATAGTAAGTGTTTTGTGTGGTCTGTGTTGGCAGCTCTACACCCGGTCAGACACAATCCTCATAGGGTTAGTCACTATATTCCACATGAATCTGAGTTAGACCTTAGTGGATTAGATATGCCAATTTCTTTGTCGCAAATATCAAGTTTTGAAAAGTTAAATCAAATTTGCGTTCATGTTTTTGGGTATGAAGGAGGTGAGGGTGTATTCCCTTTACGTGCTAGCACAGTTAAATCTCCCATCAATGTTGATTTACTGCTCATAGGTCAAAATGACAAGAGACATTTTTTTTCTGATTAAAACTTTTAGCAGATTAATGGGGGATCGAACCAAACGTGATGGGGCAAGATTTTATTGTAGACGATGTCTTCATGGTTTTAGCAGAAAGGATTTGTTAGATGACCACCTACCTTACTGTTCACATTATTCGATGCAAAGGATAAGACTGCCAGAGAAAGAGGAAGAAAAATGGGTAAACTTCAAGAGCATTCAGAAACAGCTTGAAGTACCTTTCATCATATATGCTGATTTTGAGTCCATTACACGTAAAGTGAGTGGTTGTAGTCCACACCCTGGCACATCCTACACTTCATGCTACCAAAATCATGTGCCCTCTGGTTTCTGTTACAAAGTTGTCAGTTCTCATACTCCGTATAGTAAACCTGCTGTTGTTTAAAGAGGCCCTAATGTCATTTTACATTTCATTGACTGCTTGCTTAAAGAAGGAACAGAAATTGGGGATAAATTGAAAGTAGTGGAACCAATGCAGTTAAGTGAAGCCGATGAGAAAGCATTTCAAAAGGAAAACATATGTCATATATGTTCTAAACCCTTCACTGAGCAAGCATGGGAAGTCCGCGACCATGATCATTTGGCTCCTGGATATAATTATCGTGGAGCTGCTCATCAAAACTGCAATCTGCAATACCAGTTTACAAAAAAGAAAGGGAAACAAAATGAATATGATAATTTTTCATTCCTGTAGTATTTCATAATTTGAGAGGTTATGACAGTCATCTTCTTCTAAAATATTTAGACAAAACACTTAAACAAAAACTTCAATGTCTGGCAAATAACATGGAGAAGTATATTTCCTTCTCGGTAGGGAAATTACGATCCATTGATTCTCTTCAGTTTTTAAATGCATCGCTTGAATTAGTTGAAAACCTCCGAGCTGAGGGTACTTCCAAGTTCAAATAACTGAAGTGGGAGTTTCCTAATGACCAAAAGAACATATATTACTCCTGCCAAAGGGAATATATCCTTACAATTTCATTCCGTCAAAGGAAGACTTTTATAACAAACTGACAGATAGTTCTATATCAGAGGATGACTATTCATATGCTCAAAACGTTTGGAAAATCTTCAATTTAAAGTCAATGGGTGAGTACCATGACTTGTACATGAAAACAGATGTATTGTTGCTAGCTGATGTCTTTCTAAATTTTAGACAAACCTCCTTAGAAAACTATCAGTTAGACCCCGCTCATTATTATACATTGCCAAGCCTTGGGTGGGATGCCATGCTGAAAATGGGGAGTGTACGTCTAGAATTGCTCACTGATTTAGATATGCATCTCATGATTGAGGCAGGTCTGAGAGGCCCTATATCAGGGGCCAGAAACGGTTGGTGCTGTTGTTTAAAGGTCGCGTGGACGACGACTATACACAACCCATTGACATGTTGCACATCGACGTCAAGCTGGTTCCCAGGGCCAACTGGTGGTATCATCAGAAGTGACCTGTCTTTAACGGGTTCGAAGCCGGGGCGCTTTTAAGCCCGATTTGACCCAATTTACGGCAGTATTTCACGCTGCAGGTGCTTGTTATGTTTCGCACATTGACCACAGGGTTTTGTTGTTACTATGGATCGAAAGCCCCCGTGTCTTAGCTTTCACGTCATGTGCAACACGTGCGGGTGTCGTCACGTTTTCCCACCCTTAAAGCCCCCCGAAGCTAAGCCCCCATGCATGTGACGGGAGCCAAAACAGCTCAGATTTCATATCACAAAGGGGTTTGATCTTGCATTCCGCTTGCACTAATCGTCTCGCACCCGGAGAAAGAAACATATGCACGCATATCATATATGAAAATGTTGCCACGGGCATGAAGCACCTGAGATTGTCACGGGGTCGACATGGGGCACCTGGTTGGACGTCCACAGCAATCGGACTAAGCAAGCGCAAACGGTGGTTATTTTCTGCTGGAAGCAGGACGAAATGCTGGTGTCGCATAGGAGTAAAGGGGCGACCCTTAGAGGAGAGGCGATGGCGGCGAAACGGTAGCTGGCGCAGGCAAACCAGTTCGAGTCTCGGCAGTGGCTCAGAGGCGACTTGGCAGTAAGCAAGCGCAAACGGTGGTTATTTTCTGCTGGAAGCAGGACAAAATACTGGTGTTGCATGGGACTTGAGGGGCAACCCTTAGAGGAGAGAGGATGACACTACAGCAATAGACCTCTCCTTTCCTATATGCCACACCTTAGGGAATTGCTAAGATTTGACCCAGCAAATCATGCACAGTTACCGCCAAGTTGCCTCTGAGCCACTGCCGAGACTCAAACTGGTTTGCCTGCGCCAGCTACCGTTTCGCCGCCATCGCCTCTCCTCTAAGGGTCGCCCCTTCACTCCTATGCCACACCAGCATTTCGTCCTGCATCCAGCAGAAAACCACCACCGTTTGCGCTTGCTTACTGCCAAGTCGCCTCTGAGCCACTGCCGAGATTCGAACTGGTTTGCCTGCGCCAGCCAACGTTTCGCCACCATCGCCTCTCCTCTAAAGGTTGCCCGTTTTCGTTCTGCTTCCAGCAGAAAACCACCACCGTTTGGGCTTGCTTACTGCCAAGTTGCCTCTGAGCCATGTCTAGTACTTTTGCACAACGTAACAAATTTGCATATTATACGTCGTTAGAAGCACACTGGAAAGGCCTTTCAAATGCATTATAGATATTAAAAATCCACGCATAATGAACTTAGAACAGAACTCATCTTCGTCATTAGAAGCGCACGGAAAAGGCCTTTCAAATGCATTATAGATATTAAAAATCCAACCTAGCATAATGAAGTTAGAACAGAACTCATCTTCTGCCTATAGCGCAGGTGACACAGACATCACATGCGACAGCATTATATTCGGCCATGTCTAGTACCTTTGCACAAGGTCACAAACGTGCATGTTATACGTCGTTAGAAGCGCGCTGGAAAGGCCTTTCAAATGCATTATAGACATTAAAAATCCACGCATAATGAATTTAGAACAGAACTCATCTTCTGCCGATAGCGCAGGTGACACGACATTACAGGCGGCATTATACACGGACATGTCCAGTACCTTTGCACAATGTCACAATCGTTCATATACGTCGTGAGAAGCGCGCTGGAAAGGTCTTTCAAATGCATGATAGAAATAAAAAATCCAACAATGCATAATGAATTTAGAACCGACCTCATCTTCCGATGATAGCGCAGGTGACACGGACATCACATGCGACGACATTATATTCGTACATGTCTAGTACCTTTGCACAAGGTCACAAACGTGCATATTATACGTTAGAAGCGCACCGGAAAGGCCTTTCAAATGCGTTATAGATATTAAAAATCCAGCCTAGCATAATGAAGTTAGAACCGAACTCATCTTCGTCGTTAGAAGCGCGCTGGAAAGGCCTTTCAAATGCATTATAGATATTAAAAATCCAACAACGCATAATTAATTTAGAACCGAACTCATATTCTGCTGA